TGCAAAACAGATGTTAGATCACAGTTTGCAGTTTCACAAACTGCAAATCGCAGATAGCGAATTCTCAATCTGCGAAATCTCCTCCTTCTGCGCAATCAGCTTCGGTCTTGATAAAATTAAATAGAAAAACCCTAATTTTCTATTTATACTACATCAGATCGAATTCCTATACATTTAGTCTAGAAATTAAAAAAAATTAATTACAGACCAAAATTTAAAGAACTGCAAAATCGCAGATTTGCTGCGCCAATAAAGACTTCGATCTCCACCGTACGAACAACCCATAAATCAAGAAAAATATAAAGAACTATTCTAAATATAATTCAGATTTACAAAGATTTAATTTCAGATCAATAGCCCTAAACTAGGAACCAATTTCCCAGAAAATTAATTATCTGCGCAAATCAGGTAAAATGCCTTCTGCCCATTTGCGCAGGTTCAGATCTGATCTAATTTTAGTTCAAGACTTGAACCTGGCTCTGATACCACTAAAGCGATGAGAGATCCATCATATGGATAGCCGAACCCTACAGGAAGGTAGGGAAAATTTTCAAAAAATCTCTCTCTCCCATGTGGGAATCACATTCCCTATTTTAGAAAACATTTTCAAGGAACAATCTTGAACCCTAAACTAGACCAGATTTGAAACCATAAGGTAGGAGAGGGATATACCTGATACAGAGTAGTAGTAACTCCCAATGAAGGTGTTCACACCCAAGGAGATCTCCAAAAACTGCTCCCACTGAAAATGGCACAATGTAGGGTGGAGCAGAATCAGCAAGGTGGTCCTTCAGCAAGAACCTGATTCTTTGCCAAGAATCTGATGGAGGGTGAGTGAGCACGACTTCAGATCAGTTTTTCACCAAAAACTAATATAAAGAACACTTCTTGATCGCTCCTACAGGTGGAGATCGAACTGGCTATGGCGGCAGCAATAGAGGGAGGTAAGAGGAGAAGATAGCATCAGTCTTACTAGAGCTATCTTCTCTCTTAATTCTGTAATCTTCTTGGGTGAATTGGGGTTCACCCTCCTCCTCTATTTATAGCCTTAAAAAGAGCTGCTCCTAATCCCATTAGGAGTTTCCTAATCCAAATTTGTATTTGGATCTGGACTCTCTTTAAGAGATAAGGATAAACCCTTATCTTATCTACAGATAAAGATCAGCCCTCCTAATCTTATTAGGAGCTTCCTAATCCAAATCATTATTTGGATCTGGACTCTGTGAGTGGATAGGGATAAATCCCTATCCTATCTGCTGATCTAAATCCTAGAACTGCCCCTCTTCAATTAATCAAATTAAACCAGTTCGATTTAGGCTTTAGGCCCATTAAGTCCATGTGCTCATTCAGCCTCCAAACTGCTACCCAGTTGGGTATCCTTGTATGGCGTGGGACCCAAACATTGATCTACACATCAGCCACATGGGTTCAGCCTAGCCTCTGTTACAAGGCCTGGCCGAATTCACTACAAAAGACAATGAACCCCTGAGCCCTTCACCATGGGCTCTTAATGGGCCCAACACTTACACTAAGTGGTCCTTAGGTCAAGCCACCTTATAAAAACCCAAGGACCGTGGGCAGATGCAAGATTAGCCCATCAGGTATTACCCTCAATGGTCTTACACTTAACCTCTCAGCCATAATGATCAAACACTGCCCGACAAGAGATGATCTCTCCCTCGACTGCAAGGAACAGTGGTGCACTCTCTACTCACATGGATCCCAGGAATTAAAACCTTTTGCAAACATTTTGAAACCATAATATATATATATATATATATGTATGTATGTATGTATGTATATCTCTATATAAATATATTTTGCAAATACAAATTTCAACGATTGAAATCGGTTGCCGACAGCTTTGGTTTCCATCAGAGAGAGTGCATCCCTGATCATCATTCACTTTGTTCGACAAAGGGGCTGATCTTGTCACTATGATCACCCACTTAGATGAATTCCCAAACTGTTCCAACATACCCAGGTTTTGACCCCCTCTAAGGATCTCACTGATTGGCATATCAAAGACAACCCAATCCGAAACCTAGTGCAGTATCAAATCGAGTCTAGGGGTCAGGTGTAACATTCCAGTTTTGCCCTTCTATCTCCAATGTCTAGGGCAATATTGGAATTCTGGTCCGGTTCACGGTTTCAAGAAAACCCACACTGCATGTACCTCAAGTCTCACCCTAGCAGCTAAGACGAGCCACCCCAACCAACTTGGCGGCACATCAGTGTCAGCCTTTGCAGGATAAATCTCCCCAGATCTATCCAACGGCTGTGAAGATTCTAAACTAACACGAGTCTCATATGTGTCCAGTTTAAGGGTATTACACAGAAACACATCATAATAGCATGAATCAAATATGTCATTTATTCATTTACAATAAATGTCATAATGTACATCATTCTGATTGGAGCTAAGGGCATACACTATCTAACAAGATCTGGGAGGTTTGCCGTCGTTGCCACTTAGTTTCGGTTTCAAGGAGGAGATAAGCAGTTTCCAAAGCCAGATTGGAATGAGAAGAAGCAAAGAGGAAGAAGAAAATAAAAAGAATGAGTGGGAGAAATAAAGTGAGAGAGGTCTGGGTTCAGATCTAACGATGTGGTGGTGACAAAATGGAGGGAGAGAGAAAATGGGGGAAAGTGAGTGAGGGAGAGAGAGAGAGTGATCAGAGGGTGTGAGGAGATTACCGCCACCTCCTCCTCTGTTTCGATCAAGATGACTGTGAATAGTGAATTCTTGACCAAAAAAAAGAGAAGAGGAAGAAGAAGAAAGAGAAAAAGAGGATAGAGGGTCCTCGGCAACGGTGGAAGAGGAATAGAGGGTTTGCCTCTGCACCAAAGACCAGACCATCAGATCTGAGTTCATCATCTAAGAGATATGCAAAAACCCTCTGTGGTCTAAGAGATATCTCAGATCTGAGATATAGGCAGAAACCCCCTTGCCAAAATCACTTCATCTTCTCCACTCGAAGCAAGCGCAAACCAGCGTAGTAACCTCCCTCCACCGGAGATTACCAACAATAGTAGAACCAGTCTATGTCCAATCTGCCCAAACCGAAAGGACATTTTTGACGATACAAGAGTATATTAAGGATTTTTAAAAAATATAAAGATCACGTAATAATTTTATGTAGTTGTCAAAAACAGTAAAGGTAGCATTAGTCAATTTTCAAATAAATAAGGATATACTAAGTCAATTACCAAACCATAAGGGTAATTTAAGAAATTTGCCCAATAAAAAATGATTTTAAGTAGAGATCATCAATTGAGGGCAGTTTCAACATTTGTGTTAACGAGTCTTCCGTGAAAAGAGGAAAGAGGAACACGTTGGCTCTGTTTCGTTGAGCTGTTTTGTTGTTTAATCTTCCGAATTACATGGAAGAAGTTAAAAGTGCAATTTGAAAAAAGTTATATGATTTTTTTTTTTTTTTTTTTTTTGTCTAGCAGTCTTTCAACTGGCTAGTGACAGCCAAATTGGGCTTTGCAGATTTAAATCATACATAATTGTATTCCTTGCAGGGCCAACCTCCCAAAGTCAGAAGCTGCAGCTTAAAAACCCTCCCAAAAGAGCATGTAGTTGACCTTCATGGGCTAATCCTATGTTCAAGAAATGGGAATAATTTTTAAAACTAATAAGTGAAAAAAGTGATCTACCTCCAACTCAATCCAATCCCAAATCAACTCACGTTACATCTCTTACCAGCAAACTGTTCCCATATCCATACTTACAAAACACCACCGCTGTGTACTGAGAATATACTCTGCATTTCCTATCCACAAACTGTTCCGACATCCATACCCATAGCACACTACATGTTATTCTTGGAGATATTCCCAATACCCAAACATGAATGTAGGAACAGTTTGCGGGTAGGAGATCCGAGCTCAAAGTCAAGTTGCACCCCTACCCAAATATGAGTTTTCTGCACTAGGTTAAACTTGAAATCAAGGCCTTCAGCTCATCTTGGGCTTGAAAACCAGATCTTAACCTAAACTTGGATTGTGATGAGTTGAAGCCTTTGGTAGCCCAAGCCCAACCCAATCCAACCAACTTCCTATAATGTATACATACAAACATGACACATACATTATGTGCATGTGTGTGTATGCTCATAGTCTAACAAGGGATATAGCATTACAGGCAAGGATCAAAATTTGGATACAATATTATCTAATATCGAGCGTATCGTATTGTATCTTTTGATTTCCAATACACATGTTCTGAGGTGTTTACAGGAATTTATTTTTTTTAAATAATATATACAATTATATTTAAAATCAAAAAGTAAAAAATAAATAAAATGAGAAAAGTACAAAAATACCCATACAACTCTGCCAATAGTGTGTCAATACTTTGAACGACAATTACAGGATTCATGTAACCCAGCCCATCTAATTGGGACCAAAGTTCAAAATACCGATACACCCGACCAGTAGAGGCATATCAGGGATCAAGCAGTATCAATAGCTTTTTGTATTTTTTTTTTTTTTTCAGATTTGGTTCAGAATGTCTGGTTTATATTCAATCCACCCCCTGAACCGGTCAAAACACCAAAATACCCCTGTAAATGTGCATTGGAATGCCCCCGATACAATATGTATCAGGCCGTATATTGAACATTGGTTGGGATGTGGCTTAGATGATCATGAATCATGATGACCCTCTCGTTAGGGATAATAATGTCAAATTTGGACAGGACATAAAATCGTTTTGTGATTGGATCATGATTGAATGGTTTGATTTTCTGATTCAATCTTTCACTCCTTTAAATCAAGATGTAAAAAATGGAAAACAAGAAAATTGAAAATGGTTCCAAATTTTCTTTTGGCTACTGGTTCTCGATTCTCAAGGTTCCGTTCGATCGTTCAAGTTGGTCCAAGTTTGACATGAGTTAGACACAACCAGAGAATATTGGGTTAAGCATTAGTTTTCATCCAATACCTTCCAATTTAGCAAATAGTATCCCATGACCTAAAGCTTGGGGTGATCATTGCTAACATGCCTTGGAAGGCCTGGGCGGGCCCACATACAAGCCCTACTGGCCCCATGACTAAAATTTATAGGCCTGGCAGGCCCAGTTTACCATGGAATATTAATATATTATACATATTAAGCCTGGCATATATTTCAAGCTATGCCAAGCCCCCATTACATAGAGCCCATAATACCAAGTACACCACCATGGTCGCGGCAGATGTGCTTTCAAGTTTCAAGAGGTGTGAAGAGAAAACAGGTAGCGAACTCGAAAGACAGTTATCATGGAGTAGGGGATTAAAGGGGCATTCAAAAAAACATTTCCACTCGAGTAAGATCTCTTCTCTTGGAAGTTCAATCGCGAAATCCATTCTAACTTCTCTTCTATTCCCAGATACAGGAAAACAGGGTAATGGGCGCCCCCCACTAGTGCAGTGACTGGTGATTGCTATACCTGTACTGGACTCTGGATAAACAATTGAGATCGCCTGAAAACTCTGCTCGATAAGGGATGAAAGCCATCGACCGCCCGCTCCCTCAATCCTGACTACGACCCGGATGAAGACAACTTCAATGGCTCCATTTATGCTATCAACCCCAAAGCTAGTCCAGATCCAGTTGCAAATGTAGACGATGATGTTGCTGTGACGTCCACCACTGTCAAGATTGTCGCAGTATATTTGGTTTTCTCGTTTGATTCCACGTTCCCTGACATAGTAGGATGTCGTTGCTTTATCCTACTAAATGAATTCTTAGAGAAATCATTTATTTTCAGTTCAGCAACTTCTCTCTTGGCTCCTGCAAACGTTTAAAGCTTAAACAATTATAAACAAGTAAAACTCTTCACTGGGTCACATTATAAGTTTTCATTTAGTAAAAGAAAATACTATCTTTAAATTCTTTCAATAAGTAGATGCAATTCCCACTGAGGCACTGACCTAGATCAAAACCCGCCTTCACCCTTCACCCTTCCCTCCACCCCAGTTTGCCTAACAAAAGGGGAAAACAACGTAAGCTGGGAGAATTTACACAACAATACCATTCAGGAAGCAATATTTCAATTGTGATGTCATCATACATGGCACCATGTTACTATGGCATTGCCATCAAACAACCAAATCATGATTCAAGTAATTCATTATAGAATATCAACTTACTTGGGCTTGGGTTCAACTATTGTAACTTCAAAAATGGGAACTAATCAAGCATTTCATTCAGCTTCTCCATCCTCAGCTCTGGCATCTTGATTGTCCACATCAACATCCATTTGATCTTGTGCTTCATCAATATCATCATCATCATCCCCATCTGCATAAACTTGGGAACTTACCACTTGACCTGACAAGTCCTTGTGTTTTAGATTGCCTGTTACAATACGAGACAGAGGAGAAACCAGTTACGCCATTCAAGTGGTTCCTTAAAATGTCAAACATCAAGTGGAAAATGAGATACACCTAAGCATGAACTACAGGACAATGACGCTTGAGATAACATGCCAGTTTGCGTAACCATATAATGCAGAATATTTAATGAGCCAAGATACAACAGGAGCAGACATATCCAGTATAAGCAGCAAAGATGTTAGTACTTGGTAGTGGTCCAGGAGTGCATACATCCACAAACATAGAAGGGGGAAAAGAAAAGAAGAGAAAATAAAAGGTTCTAACAGAATGCCCAATGTCCAAAGAAACACGGCAAGTCTATTATGTGGGACATACCCATCCAGAAACTGCATCCATTTGATGTATTATGGAGGAGAGCCTTCACTCGGAACAAATAGCGCTCCATTGACCTTTTTGTAGCAGGAATTTTGGTGGTGATCATTGTTTGTTTCAAGCCCTCCAAAAAAATGGGAGTTAGGAGATAAATATAAAATAGACTAGTGCTGAGTAGATGTTAAAATTGATGTTAAAATATGCAAGACTAACCTTGGCCTCAGAACAAAGTGTTTGTATTGTCCTTGTTGCCTTTTGAAGCTCTTTGACCTGAATCAAATTATAAGCCATAGATAGGTAAGAAATTACCCTTTGAGGAGAATAACTAGAATATATGTTTATTTTTAATCTTACCAATTGGATTATAATGTCACTGTGCACATGAAAGTGGATCTCCAGGAAGTCAAAAACTGTGGAATAATCCAATTCAGTGTACTGAATAATTCATCTTAGATTGATTACCCCCACATAAAACAATAAGTATGATTACCTTTTAGAAAAGAATCAACAAACTTCCCACCATGCTTGACTGCCATGGCATGCACAGTTACCTATATCATTTTCAATGTCAGTATTAATCCACTTTTATCTTTTATGTTAATTTTAAGCAGTTAAAAATAATAAATCCATACAAAAAAAATTAAAAGATGACCAAGAGAATTTTTTTATTTTGTTTGCTTAATTACCTTGTCATGAGTCTTGCACATGTTGACTAATGATACAACCACATTCACACATTGTCGTAATTTAATCAGCACTTCTTTTACAGTTTCAAGTTCAACATTGGCTCTGGGTTTTCGTAACAGAACAACTTCCTTAACCTACAGGAAAGGAAGAAAGATTAAATCTCCATAAGTTTAATAAAGTGGTCAATTTTGAAAGATGTAAAGAAAGAATTGGAGCAAACCAGATTGTTTAGAATAGCAATGTTTTCCTCGTGCTGCAATACAACCACCTTTGTAAGAATCTCCATTTAGAAGAAATAAACTCAACTAGCATAACAATGAGAGATAGAGACATGACTAGCATTACCAGAACCCGATACCATACAACAAATGTTGAAGGGCGTAGTGTTCGGAAACCATGAGTAGCATCTTCCATGTTTTTAGTTCTGCAGGAAGGCACCTAAAAGAGAGAACGAGATATAAACTATGTACCAAAGTAGCAATTGGTTGCAATGTTGAATTATGAATCATGAAAAGTCTTTGAGGAAAAAAAGAACCACCTGAGGCAAGATAGAGCAGGAAAGTTCATCCAGTAGATCAGAAGTGGATTCGCCATTTTCCAAGTAGATGTGCAATATCTTCTGTATTATCTCTCCCTGGAAAGGTCAGCAAAATAAAATAACTGTGGTCAAATAGTAAACCATATCATAGAATTGCAGAAATTTTATCTAGATAAAAGGATAAAATTCACTTAAGGAAGAATAGAAGATATAAACATAATGAAATAAGCTCACTTTGTTCTTTGAGCCATTTTCAAGAGTTTCATAGTCCAAGTCTTGCATTAACAACTTCTTAGCAGAACAGCCAAGTCTCTTGCGCAGAATAGGATGGACTTCATGGAGAAGTCCCATACGTATATTTTTCCCTTTTCCTTCAGAAAACTTATCAAGGGATGAGCAGACGGACATCACAACTGATTCTAGAGTAACTAGAACTTCTGATGCCAGCAAAAATGAAATGGAATGTTCTGCATGGGATGGACATGATTATAAATGCCATGCAAAGCTTCAGAAACTATCAAGTTATAAAATAAAACACGAAATATAATAGTGAGGTTATATTAAACCACAATATAAAAGATATGTTATATTACCGATGTCTAAGACACCTTCCAGGAAAGAATAAGCTCCACAATATAAATAGTCGATGTTCCCAGGTGAGGAAATTGGTTGGACTTTTGATAAAAGGCTATCTGGTAGTTTGTTTGGCTGGAAGGCTTCAAGCAAATCTGAGAGGACTAGTGAGTCCATCTGAATATTAGGAAGTTTTAGCATCTGCAATAAGAAACAAAACGTATCAAAGGCATGCCTACTGGACGAACCTAAAAGAGAAAACTCAGGATGAAAATGTATGTTATCTAGGGTTCTTAGAGGCAAAGCTTTAACTTTTCCGTTGCTAATGAGCAGAGAGAGAGAGAGAAGGTACTTTGCTGAAGCAGTGAAGAATTTCTCTGAATATTGAACCAGCAACTGAAGATTTTGAGACCACCAATTCACATATTTCTGGGTTCCCCGCAGAAGCAGACTGAATGCTCCAATGTTCTTGACAAGTTTCAGTTCCTACACCACTTCTTATAAGATAACTAAAACATAGAAATGATCCAGGTTTATCCAACTAGATAAGATGCAACTTTACCTTCCTTCAGAATACAAAGTGCAGCATCAAAATGTTTTTTGAGACTTGGAAATAGTGGCTTTATCTTCTGCACAAACTCATTCACTGTCATCCTGCTGAAACCAGAAGGAGCCCTCGAGCATCCAACTGGAAATTGTTTGCTTGGAGGAATCAAATGATCTAGCTTCTTATTAAGATCACGTAAAAGGTAGAGATGAAGGGGTAACTGGTATAGAAGCTAACCATCAGTCTGTGACAAACTGAAAAAATCCATTTGTAGACATGAATTCATCTATCACAATCTTTATAAGAACAAAAGATTACCTCGGCTGCAGGATCTGCACAACAAGAATCTTGATTCTGCATCACAAAAGAAACATTACACTGCATCAGCAATCATGGTCAGATTCATCAGTATATCATATAAGCAACACTAAGATGCTCATAAACACTTACATTATACTGTGTTTTTTTATTTTGAAAATGGCTAATGGTTGTGTTAGGTGGCATGAGGTTAGGGGCATCCATGTCTTTTCAGTATGTTTTATTTGTTTATGTCCCTCTTGTAGTTGAACGTTACATATATAGCAGCCAATTGGTGGGTGAAGTAACTTTCTTTTCTCCCATTTATTCTTCTCTATATATTATTTCTGCTTGTAGAATACATCCAAGTAAGAGTTAACCCATATGATGTTGTATGAGATCTGTTTGAAGCGAGTGATCTCTTCTATGAAACATCTTTAAGGTAGTGATCACAAATCTCTTCTAAGAGTTTATCTGCTGCTTTTTTCTCCCTCTGTTTCTCTTCCTAGATTCATATTCTCTATTCAAGAGTTCAAATCAGAGTCTGGTGACTATGAAGTTCTATACATGGTGGTTTATGCCCTTTGATTAATGGTTTAAAAAAGGAGCATAGCTGCTTTTTGTGGATCCCATACTTAATGATTTGTCAAGAAGTTCTTTTTGGTAGTGTTTTGGGCAATGGAATGCTGCAGCTGAAGAAATTAATTGGTTTTTCAGATTTATGGTGTGCAACCGATGCGTATGCTATGAATTGGTTAAATTCTTCAGGTGCATTGCTGTTTCTATTAAATTTTTTTGTTCTCTCCATTCGTGTAATTGAAAGTTGCTTTTTGGACCTTCTTGTTATTTTTCTCAAGTTTTGTAAATGCAAGAAAAAACTATTATTTTTCTTATTAAGAAGAAGGCCTATTTTTTCAGGAGGGGTCCCATGGTATACGTTGTTTGCTGATGATGTGATGTTAATCAATTAAACCAAAGAAGGATTACACGTAAAATTAGATCAATAGACAAATACCTTAGAACCAAGAGATTTTAAAATAAGGAGTAACAAAATATGTGCAATATAAATTTAATGACAATAAGAGTAGAAATCAGGTCAGGCTATAATGCGGATTGGAGACCAAGAGACATCTCAATGTGACATTGTTAGAGCCCAAGAAGGCACTCCAGCCTCAAGCCAGCAGGCCCACACAGGTAACCAGGCCTAGGGAACAAGCATAGATGTGAGCCCAAAACTTTACACTCCTCCCTTGTGATATGTCTATACACGCAAGCCACGCCAGGACTCTCCCCATGCATAACGTGAATGTAATGATGATAAGAGTAGTGCATCAATTCTATTAAAGGGTCAGGGTGTAGTGGGAGCAGGGTATCCAAAATAGTAACTAACTCATTCTCCCCCCTCTTCTTCCTCTCCCTTTCTTACCCTGTTCTCTCTTTTTCTTCTAGAGGAAGAGCTCCCTTGAAGAAAATCAGTTTGTTGGGTTCCATCATTTGGTATCAGAGTCCCAATGACCCACCATGCCCACCACTCGCTCATCCCCACAAGATGATAGGGTTGATCGAATAGAAGTGGACATCCACAGGATCTCCAATGAACTGAAGGAGATTAAGGACACCCTCTCCGTGGTGGCATCCCAATTTGAGAAAATATCTCAACCTTAAAAGGACACCAACCAGGAAGGATTTAGCAACAGAGCAGCCCGCCAAACAGGAACCTTCAAGGCTTCAACATCCAAACTTCCAAGCTGGGGAATTTCCAATATTTTCAGGTGATGACCCTTCCCCTTGGATCAATCGTGCTGAAAGATACTTCAATTTTCATGAGATTTTGGCAGGCAGAGAGTTCAGATTGCTCCCATTCATCTGGATGGCGAAGCAAGCCTCTAGTATCAATGGTACCGTAGCTCCCACCCCAAACTCTCTTGGCTTGACCTAGTTGAGGCCCTACAAATTAGATTTGGGCCTTCAAGCTTTGAGGGTTTTGATGAAGCTCTATCCAAAGTAAAACAAATAGGCATCATTTGAGAAAACCAAGTAGAATTTGAATGGCTTTCCATGAGGGTGCATGGCTGGCCAAAGAAGGCCCTGACCGACTGCTTCATCGAAGGTCTGAAGGAAGATATCCAACTGGAGGTGAAAGCTTTGCAGCCCACCTCAATCCTAGCCGCAATAAGTTTATCCCGATTACACAAAGAAAGATTGAATCGACTCAAAAAAAACCCTCGACCCAATCTACCTAGATGAGCCCCAAAAGCTGCTCTACCAAAACCTAAGTTCACCCTGGCTCAACCAAGCAACCCATCCACTCTACCTATTAAGAAACTTACATGGAACGAAATGCTGACCCACCAAGATAAAGGGTTGTTTTATAATTCTGAAGAAAAGTTAACCCCAGGTCACAAATTCAAGGCCTATCAACTATTTCTCCTCCACACTAAAAATGAGTTGAAAGTACAATAAATCTGATCTGATTTGAAATTTGTGATAAAAAGAAGAAAAGGAAAAGTTTGTGTAGAAAAGAGAAGAGAGAGGTTGAAGAGAAGCCAAAAGTAGTGATCTGGCCGCCCCTTTCACTATCTTATATACTCATAATTAAAAAAGAATACAATGACAAGTATACCCTTAGTAAGTCGACGATTACTTAAAACACAAGTACACACTCTTAACCAAACATAAACTCATGGACATTAGGCCCAATAACTCTAGCAAAACTGTAAAAATAAAAACAAATATTATCAGCCCATTCTCAACACTCCCCCTCAAATTGGGAATAGATGTCACACATTCCCAACTTGTGTATCATGCTCAAGCTCGTTTCTTGCAACACTTTTTGTAAGAACAACAACTAGTTGTAAGTAAGATGTAACATATGGTAAGCACTTCTCTGAATGTCACCCTCTCCCTTATAAAGTGTCTATCCACTTCTATATGCTTTGTCCTATCATGTTGAACTAGATTGTGGGCAATGTTAATTGTTGTTTGATTGTCAGAGTATAGCATCATAGGGGCTCTTCTGCCTCAATTCCAATCTCTCCTAACATGGATCGGACCCAGAGGAGCTCTGAGACACCATGTGCCATGGCTTTGTATTCAACTTCTGCACTTGACCTTGCTATAACTAATTGATTCTCACTATTCCTTGAAACTAAATTACCTCCAACAAGAGTGCAAACTCCTTATGTAGATCTCCTGTCATCTATGCACCCTTCCCAATTGACATCTATTTAAGCCTCTAACTTCAAATATCCATGATCAACAAACAATATGCCTCTACCTGGGTGTCCCTTCAAATAGGCAAGTATCATGTCAATAGCATCCCAATGCTAAACTCGTGAGGCATGCATGTATTGACTCACTACACTCGCTACATAAGAGATATCCGGTTGTGTCATGCATAAATACAACAACTAGCCCACCAATCTCCGATCTCCAATACCTTCCAACATCCTTCACTAGCTTACCGTCTGAAGCATTCATCTTGTGATTCTGATCAATAGGTGTATCAACTGCCCTCGTCCCTAGCTTTCATGTCTCTTGTGGTAAGTCCAAAACATACTTCCTATGTGAAATGAAGATCCCGTGCTTGGACCTTGCCACCTCAATGCCCAGAAAATACTTCAACTCCCGAAGGTCCTTAGTCTCAAACTCCTTGTGCAAGTTCCTCTTCAAGGTATCAATCTCACTCAGATCATTTCCTATGACTACGATGTCATCCACATACACTATCAACACGGATACCAATGATTCCCTCCTTTTTACAAATAAAGGATGACCAGATTGAGTTTGAGTATAGCCAAATATAGTCAATGCACTTCTAAACCTGTCAAACCAAGCTCTAGGTGATTGCTCCAAACCATATAAAGACTTCTTTAATCTGCATACCTTTCCTTCAGCCACATCACTATAAAAACTAGCTGGAAGATCCATGTACACCTCCTCATGCAAGTGTCCATTAAGAAAAGCAGTATTACATCAAGTTGGAAGAGGAGCCAAGAGTAGGAAGCTGCTAGTGATAGGAGAATCTGAATTGAACTCATCTTGTACATTTCTATCCCATAAGTCTAAGTGTACCTTTTAGCAACCAGGCTCGCCTTGTACCTTTCTATGCTTCCATCAACCTTGTACTTCATTGTATAAAGCATAAACCCATCTACATCCAATTGTCTCCTTGCCATTAGGTAAATCCACAATCTCCCATGTTTGATTTTTAACCAATGCTTTCATTTCCTCCTACATAGTTGTCTTCCACTTAGGTTTGGAGAGAGCCCCACTAACACTCCTGGGTATAAACAGAGAGTCAAGGGAGGAAAGAAAGAAGGGCTCAATCAAGGGAGGAAAGAAAGAAACACAAAGTCCTAGGTATAAATACAGAGTCAATTCCAATCTTCTTCTACTACTACTACCAATACTTTTTCTTTTCTTCTTTTCCTATAACAAAAATAAGGGCTCAGTCCCTATATCTTTTGAATTTTATTTTCCTTCTTTTCCTTCTCATGAATATGCTGATTTTCTATACTTTAATATGAACTTTATACTTTTCTTATGAAAATTATGAATAATTATTAAGGAAATATGGTTATGGTTCCTAGGGAACTACCCTAGGATCTATGTTTTTAACATAAAAACTAGGCGGCCCCCCTGTCGCCTAGCCTCGCCTTGGCGCCTTGAATACTATAATCATGCCCAATTTGTCACATAGTTCATTGTGCCGCAAGTATGGAAGTCCTTTTGTGAGAACATCAGCCAGTTGCTCCTTGGAGTTGACATAAGGCATAAAGATTTCACCCTTTTCTAATTTTTCTCTTATGAAGTGCTTGTCCACTTCAATGTGCTTTGTCCTATTGTATAGGACAGGATTGCTAGCAATGCTTATGGCCGCCTTATTGTCACAGTAGAGGGACCTAGGGTTGTGAATAGTAACCCCAAGCTCCCCTAGAAGATTTTTCAGCCAAAGTACTTCAGCCACCCCATATGCCAAAGCCCTATACTCCGCTTCAGCACTTGACCTTGCAACTATGCTTTGTTTTTTACTTCTCCATGTCACTAAATTTTCT